CACAAACTCCATGTTCTCCATATTCTTTTTGTGGGCGCAGTCTGATTTTGCCATATACTGTATATATATATATATATGTTGACCCATGTGTTTGATTTGTATGTTATTCCTCCGAGCACTGGGGGGTGATGTACGGCCAAGGCTGGCCACCGAAAATTTAACCCCCCCGAGGCAGCAACCCACAGGTGTTGCTCATTGTAGAAAGGTAAACAGTTTTTGACTGTGCTAGCACGATTTCGTGTTTTTTTTTTCGTTTAACTATGTTTTATTGGACATTATGGATCATGCAGATTTGCGGACATAAGAAATAAGCGCATCATGATGCAAACCATTGGTAAAGACAGATCATCAGTTATCCCGAGGACATGTATTAACATTAAAAGTTGCAGTGACTTGAAAGTAACCCTACTGCTTCATTTTGGATAAGCCGTGTTGCTTCATTGGGAATCAGCAAAGTTCGCCGTTGAACAAATTACTACGATACATCTGAGGCATCGATCTTCTTCTACTCGCTTGATTGGAGCTGCGCCTCAGCTACTGGTGTGATGCGCTGGAGATAGGCCTACTGGAGTGATTTCTGGACACCAAGCATCAGAAATCGGGACGTCAGGTCACCTATGCCGGCCAACGTTTGGGGTATGTGCAGCACTAATACAACCATATTTGGCCATTGTATATTTGTGTACACACATTTATATGAAAACTTTTAGTGGGCTTAAGTGTAGGCCCCTGACTTAATGTAAATATGGAAGAGGAAAATGCTAAACCTGGCGACGCACTCACTGATGATAAACTGGTGGGGAATGAGCCAGAGCCTGACGGGGTTGGGAGAGAAGTAGAATTGGGCGCTGTAAAAAGCCTACCGTGAAACGAACACCCAAAGCATTGGTGGAAAAAATAGACAGTTTTCAAAAGAAAAAAAAAGACAAAATTTAACAAATTGTCTTAACAAAAAAAGAAGAAAAAAAGAACTATCATTGACTTGATGGGTGACAAAGACTATATAAATGAAGTGAAATGTACATTTGACAAGTTTAAGGTTCTTTGTGATGAAGCAAAACAATTGCACGCCTCTCTGTTGGGGTTATTACCTAAAGATGAAGCAACAAAATATGAAGTATGTTTCAAAGCAAAAAAGTTGAATGTCAGTTACTTTATTGCTAATGTGAGTGGTTGTCTAAAACTGAAAGTTGTCCTGCTAGTGGTGACGGTATCAATGAAAAAGTGGAGGTTGGTGTTGAACCCTCATAATGATAAAGAGGCGGTTGGTGTTGAACCTCATGAACTGTGAAAGTAGCGTTGTTTCAAATGGACAATCCAATGGAATGGAGTCATATTTTATGAAAGGGTAAACTTAAAGGCATGCCCACATCTCTTGATCCACATGGCAAAAAATATGAGCCTTAGTATGAGCAGTCCATGCAACAACATGTTTCCTGCCCATTCAGTGCAAAGCAATACTCATCCCAGTGTCAGAGTGGAGATACATTCCTCCATTACAAAACCTGCTGATGGTGCCCCAAGAGGATTGAAGGCACAAAATCTTGTCAACAAAAGATGGATTGAAAGCCCAAAGTTTCTATGGGAACCTGAGAAGAAATGGCCAGCGTCTCCTGTAGATTTACATGTCACTACTGACGACTCTGAGCTCAAATGAAATGTCATGGTAAATACAACTGTTGTCGACACGGAATGCTACTTATCAACTAATAACTTACTTTTCTGACTGGCAAAGGTTAAAGGTCACAGTTGCTTGGATCCTTCCTCATGCTGAAAGGAACTCTACTGAAGCTGAGTAAGAGAAGAAAACTGTTGTAGCTTGCAAATATCAGTGCCAATGGATCGCCTTTATGCTATGTACATAAAGAACTGTAAGCCTTTAGAGCCTCATTAGGAGGTCAGAAATTGTCACTGGACGATCTCTCAGAAGCTGAGACTTCTTTCCTTTTGTGAGAGAGATTCCAGGATGAAATTGCTGCATTAACATCTAGCAAATCAGAACTAAAAAAGAGTAGTACTATCTACAAACTGGATCCTATTCTAGAAAAGGGGCTTCTGAGAGTTGGCCAGCGACTAAACATCCTCTCATCTTATCCAAAGACCAACACATCTCAAACCTTATTCTTCGCCATTTTCATGAACAGCTGGCTCATGGTGGGCGAAATCATGTGCTTTCCACTGTTAGGAAAAGGTACTGGATCACAAATGCCAATTCTGCAGTGAGGAAAATCATAGGAAGGTGCAAATTCTGCAGGTGTTACAGAGGAAAAACTGGTAAACAAAAAATGGCAGACTTGCCCACAGAGAGAGTTGTCCCTGATCTCCCTCCATTCATGAATGTTGGCATAGATTATTTAGGTGCAGTTGATGTAAAAAGAGGACACAGCATCATGAAACGTTATGGAGTGATCTTGACTTGCATGGCAAGTAGGGCTGTTCACTTGGAGGTAGCTTACTCTCTTGATACAAACTCATGTATCAATGCTTTGCAAAGATTCATCTGTCAGAAAGGACAAGTTTCTTACATGAGATCGGACCATGGTACCAACTTTGTGGAAGCAGAAAAAGAGCCAAGAGAAGCCTTCGCTTCTTTAGATCAGAACCGGATTGAAAGATCTTTGTCACAGAAAGGAATTAAGTGGAGTTTTAACCCACCTGCTGGATCACATCATGGTAGTGTTTTGGGATTGCATCACACAGACGGTCAGGAAAATTTTGACTTCAGTCCTTTGTCAGCAAAGTTTCGACAATGAAGGGTTTCAATTGGTCAAAGCCATCCTGAATGATCGCCCTATCACAACAATGTCTGATGATCCAAATGACCTTGAGGCAAAGAAAAGATGGAAGTCCACTATATTGCTGATCTACCACTACCACTGTTACAAGAGCAACAAAGATGGACAAAGGAGAGAAGCAAATAATAAAGGTCCTAGGCCGCTTTCTTGAGGTACACCGCAAGTAGTAGATTTTAAACTTGAAAATTATCCGTTAAAAAACAAGATCTGTTTTTTATTGATCTAATAACTGTTAAGCCAGAGACCCAAAGTGCTAAACGTTTCAGTTTCTCTCATAACAATACATGATCAGTCAAATTAAAAGCAGCCCTAAACTCATACAACACAGCCTCATCCACATTTTTCTTATCTTGTCTTTCTAAGTCAATCATAAGCCGCCTAAGCTGAAGCAGTTACTGTTGAAAATCGTTCCCTGTAGTAGGTCTTAGTAGCCTTTGAATGTCTAGTTCTTGCACCAATTACCTTATTTTTTACTTTCCATGGAAAATAGCACTGTCTTCATTCATGTTTCTGTTTGTTTTTCTTCCTCTATCAGGTGATTTTATGGTCACTGCATCCTTGGTGTTTTGAAATAAGTAAGCATGGGGATTCGTCCTTCATCGTGTTCTGTAAAGTTTTACAGAGAAACCCTGCATGCCTCTTGGAGTAATGAAAAAAAAGAGCTGCATGATGGGAGACTCCCGTGTCAACTCACTGACACAGGAGTCATTTGTGCTTGGCTGGGATCACAGGACATTTTTAGACCCAAGTGCCTCTCTGATACTTTGCCAGGAATAGAGCAGCTTTGGAGGGCAGGTAGGACAGATCATACACTTTTTTTAAATGGTGGGTGAAGGTCTGAAAACATGAGTCATGTCTCTGGTCCTTTAATTGCCAAAACATTTGTCCCAGTATGTGGCTCTAAATGTTCCACATACAGAACTTTAAATGTTTGACTTTCCTATTTGAATAGAAGGATTATCTTACAGCAGGACTGAGCTGTAACCAGACTTTGTTCAGTCTATTCTTAGTTGTCAGTGAGCACATTGCAAAATGTTCACAGAAAAATCAATTCAGAGAACCAGTTTATTGCTCTCTATAACAGTTAGCACTAATGCACACACCACAGTTATCTGAATATTGTATAATATAAATATTATAATGAATTCTTAAGAAAGAGAAGAGATCTGTCTTGGGTCTGTCTGTCTAATTAAGGTAAGATCAGATAAAACTTTTCTCTCAATTAAAATAGTACAAAATGGAAATTTGTCTTTGGCAATCTGGCAACACAGTATAAGCAGAGATAGGTAATACATACATTTCCTTATCCATCCATTTTTTTCTAAAGACCTTATTCAGCTCACTAAACATTTTCTTTTACTATAAATGCACCTTAGGATTTTTACCTTGTTTTTTTTCTTTGTAATGTGTGGGAAGGTGGGTAATTTTCTTGTTTGTTTGTTATGTATACATACTGACAGTAGTATGCATTAATTTCTCTCCTGACATGCTTTGACTTTTTTTTCCCACAAAGACTGTGAACACATGTTGCATTTTAAGACAAACTTGCAATTGAGCATTATAAACTCTCTCTTTGAAGTCTTTATGTGCACGGACCAAAACTTTGACAACAATCTGCTGAGGCATTAAAAAAGATTTGATAGCAGCAATTGACCCGTTTTATTTTCATGCTGTGAGGTTATTATAGCAGCAGGTCTGTGCCAGAATAAATCAGTAACTTGATTTTTTGCAGACATGCTAAGGCCAGCTAACTTCGGCTATTTCCAACAAATGCATGCATTTGTAGAACTGAAAATGTGAATACAGTGTATGTGTTTCAATATAGAAAAAAAATATAGTTATCTTCAAATTTACTTTCTATAACAGTCTTTCTTCTAGAAGCTCTTGACCTACTTCCAAGCTAAGGTGAGGCGTTATGCAAATGTATTTACAACTGAATTCATCGTTGCTAATCATATCAAAGCTAAACAGCTTAGCTTTGTTTGGTAAGTAGGCTGCGTGTGTTCCCTACAGAGTTATAAAGCAGTGTGGATCACATGAAGAGGTGACAATGTGGTCCTGAAAATTTGATTTACCAAAAACACAAAACAATATCACATTGTTTTCCTAAATAATAATAAGACTATGTTCACTTTGGCTACCTGCCTGTAACAGCTTTATGGAAACAATAAAACACAATGTAAGTACTGACTGCAAAGCATTTTATTTATTATTATAAACAGTGTCAAGTTACAAGAAGAATAAAATGAAAAAAACTTTTTACATTCTTTTTTTAACCTTTGGTCATAATAAAACATACTATACATAGGCAAAAAGGAAAAGCAAACTCTATTTACTAAAGGTAAAAAACATCATCGTCACCACCATCATCTCCATCTCCAGTGCTGAACCATGTGATGGCAAGATGAGGGTGACGGAGGTGAGGGGCAGGTGGTGGGGCAGGGAATGGAGTCTAGGAAGAAGTTGGTGGGGGGGACGAGGGTTCAGACTTTACATTATCACTGCTTTCGCTGATCTGTCTGTTCAAAACCATTTCCCTGGCGATGCAGGTCACCTGACCGTTGGCCACTGTGTAGGTTCTGTTCCTGCAACACAGAGATGCTATAATTTTAACTCCAAGAACAAAAGAAAAAAACAAACAAACAAAAAAAACTCGAGAACTGCTGCTGTTTAACTTGGCGCTTGTTGTGACATTATCTTGACACTCACTTTTGATTTTCAGATCCATTCTGGATGCCTGGTTGGTTCGGTTTTGCAAAGAAAAATGAAGTCCACCAGTGGCCAGAGTCTTGCCTTTGAAGTCCTGAAGAAACAAAGTGACTTTTAGCAGGTATTGTTTTGGTGCAGGGACACTTCACATTTTCACATTTAATCTCAAAAGTAATCCTCATCCCTTTTCATACCTGGGGGGTGTGGAATGACCTCTCCTGTGTACTCAGCACTGCCACAAGAGCTGTTGCTGGAGGTAGACCCAAGGCGCCCTGGAACAAAGACAGTAAATTAGGACAGGAAATCTTCCCAAAGACTAAAAGAGACTTCCACAGTGGGAAAAAAAAAAATCACTGGCATTAGATCTGGTATTTTTGCCATTCACCAAAAATAATTAATGGGATATAAATCTATATAGGCCACAACTGACTCACTTCTATAGTAATCATGGGTGGCAATGAGGGAGCCACTTGATGGAATTGCTGCCATTTTCTCCGACCTTAGGTGGAAAACCGCTCAAAGATGGAAAATGGTAACCTGAAGGAGAGACAAAGGAGAATAGATAGCACTTGTGTTAATAGGCTGGATTCAAAAAGGGAAAAAAATGATGCTGTCATGTTTTCATCATTATTTCATATCTTTCCATTTTCTTTTGCAATGTGTCTGCTTATTGTACAGTTATCACATTTTATCTTTTTAAAAAACACTGCATACAAACACAGTGCTTCAGTGCAAAGATCCTGTCTGGGTTTACACAGACATGAGGTGAGAAAGCACATCTGCTCTGACAGCATTCACAGAAGAGCATGTCACTCATGATCTGTTTCAAGGAATCTGTGCAGCATTCATTCATGCCCTTTGTGCTCCATTCCTGTCCACATGCAGCCCTTCACTGCAGAGTGATAAAACAGAAGCAGCTGCTTCTGAGACTCCTGTTTTCCATGACTCAAATAACTACAGTGTGTATGAGGGCATGCCCACATGCCCAGCTACACTCAGATAAGGTGGTGCACGAGCTGGCTGCGTGACAGGAAACTATAGATGGCTCTAACCAAATGTTTTAATGCCATAAGCAAAAATAAAATTATAACTCGCCCTTTTTCAGGATTTATCAGTAGTGCAGCAAAATGTGAATCAACATTTATCATTTGTGCATGCATTTCATATTTCACATGTATTCCTGACCCTTAACAGCAGAATATGTTATCAGCCTGGAGCCTGAGAACCAGTTGGAGGCTGTAAAGCTTAACACCAGGTGAGCAGCAGATGGCTTTGGGGATTTCAAGGAGCAGACAATTACATGTCTGTACTTCATAGCCTAGATAAACAGCAGCTTCACTTTAAACGGTGGCCAGAAGGCAATTTTACCTGCTAGTATTTACTGTATGTCCTGGAGAAAATGCATGTGGGATTTTGTGTACATTCGGATATTCAAAAACTGACACAGAGAGCATGACAGAAAGCATTCCAGCACAAAAACTACCTTTGCAGTTTGTGATGAAGACAGAAGTTGTAAGACAAATGTGAGGGAAAACTGAAAAGGAAGACACCACACTGATGGACTGGAGTGTTGTAGCATTCAAGAAAGTTGTCATATTCTGTTGGTGTTTAAAAGTAGGAGAGAAGAGCTTTTCAGTGACAGTGTTTGGACCTACCTTTAAGATTAGGATGCTGCTGTTGGCACCAGGTGCGGTTGTAAGGTGCGGATGGCTTGAAGTAGAAGAGGTGCTACTTGTTACAATGGCCCATTTGTGGATGAACTCTCCGTGTGGACCACTCTCGGTCGCTACACCGCAGGCTGTCGCTGACTCAGGATTGCCTGTGGATCAGCTTTTATAGGACATGGCCCCGGCGCGTGCTGCTGTGACACGGGGCGGGGACTGCTGTACCATGAGGACACAGAACGTGCGGTTGATCTCGTTGGTTTAAGGGGGGAACTCCGTGACACCAGACAAAGGGAGGCTTTGGAGAGGCTTTAAATTACCCGTGGAAGGACACAAGCGCACCTTCACGTTAGTTAGCTGGCTCACATTTAAATTTCTAACACGCTTTTAAAGCATAGGTTCACATTTCTTAAAGTCTGTTTCAAAACTAATCAGGTTCCTTAATGGAACAGTGCTATTTCTAGCTGTAATCTTCCCTCCTGTTACTACTAGCCAGTATAACATCCTCTCCTGTTGTTTTCAATGCAGGGTGGGTTCAGAAAATGTGGGACAAAAGCATTTCCTTGTTTTTCCCATTTGACTGAATGGAACCAATACATTTTTTAATCCTAAAATTTTGCCACAACACCACTTGTTTACATCCATCCATTTTTATCTGTGTGACATTACCATTGGTGGCATGGTTTAAAGTCCAAGAGAGGTTGGTTGGATGTGTGTAGGGAGAGTAAACCATTAAATGAACTGGACTCTAAAAAAAACAAATATGTTTTTGTCCAGTAATTATTTTAATAAAGCCACGTTCAATGTCAAATTAAGTTTTCTCAGAAAGCTTATTTTTAGCACTGTCCTACGTTTACCGAAGGCGTTTGCAAAACTGGAACAGTGTTTTTAGGTAAAGTGGTAGCCTAGATTTTTGTTGGGTTATTTGATGCAGCATTTCTGCAGTAATATACATTATACTTCAGCAATCTGTAAGATTGACGAAGTGGCTCAAGCTGGTGGCTACGCTTGATGGAAATTTAATGTTTGCATGTAGTTGACTATGATGGAAATAATGTGCACATAATGTTTAGTACCAGTACTGTATGTTTTGCCAGATAACTATAGCTACTGAGATTTACATTGTGATATTAATTAAAACCAACTGAGACCTAGGCTAATGTATGTAAATGTTTGTAAGTGATAGCTTTAACACAGCAAACATACAACAAGTTAAAAAAGAACAGCCATAGCAACTCATCATGACATCAAAACAAACAAATCATATTACTGTGTAAGATCCAACCAAATATCTCTTTGGATCACCATATGGCAGGTAGTAACTGGTAGTTGGTCAGGAATTAAATTAAGTGTCAAGTGCATGCACTTGACCTGAGCGTATCTGTTACCATCACGATTCCTGGGTCGTCATCAAATCTGACAACACACTATTTTGAAGTAGTCACAGGCTGGGTCTAGTCAACTTGGAGTCAGTCCAAGGGGAAAACGAAGCCCTGGGAACTGTGGCATTCACACTTGAGGTTCTTCACAGGTGCACACATGTGCACTGTTCAGCTCAGATTACCTCTTGCTAGTATGGCTACCTCATGGAGGCGCATCACTGAGGGAACTGGTGGGATGTTCATGAGGAAGGGCCTGCACCGCCTTCTCAGTATCCTCCTCCACATAAAACAGGTTGATGATTATTTCTGTTTTGAGCAGTGCTTCAAACAGAGATCCTTGCATCAGGTATGTCATGGGGTTTGCTTGTCTCTTCAGCCTACTCTTCTTCAATGGAAGGCCTTGAAGAAATTTCATGTACCTTGAGTGAAAAGTTCTGCGCTAAAGAGGTAGAAGTTACCTCGTTGCCAGAACTGGGTGCAGTACCTTGAAAGGTGGGTGATCCTAGATGGATGGATAGATGAAACAAATCCTGTAATGATTTTTACTTGTTTTGTTTCACTTAAATTCAATATTTAACCTTCAGCACGCTGATAAATCTGGGCCCAGATCTCTTTCTGAAATGCCATATTTAATAAAAAAAAAAAATAAATAAAATTTCATAACCCATTCAAACCATTCAATTAAATAGTAATTCTAAATATGAACGATGTTTTATTCACAGTTACTTTTAGCTTATTCCATAAATGATCTAACTCGAGGAAGGAAAACAGGTTCTGATTACAGTGGGTGAGAGATCTGTTGGTTAGCTAATCACTTCATATTGGTGATTTTTTTTTTAATTTGTTTCTTATTTAGCGAGTATTCTGCTTCATTTAAAAGTGAAAACCTTCAGTTTATAACGTGAAGTGCATGTTTAAGAAATATGTTATCTGCTTCGTATTCAACTCTCCCTGGTGGTCTAGTGGTTAGGATTCGGCGCTCTCACCGCCGCGGCCCGGGTTCGATTCCCGGTCAGGGAACAGTTCTTTTCTTCTTAATTAATACATTTTACCACGTACTTTGGCCATGTTTTTACCGAACATATAGGACCTGAAGATATCTTTCTGACGACCATGACTCTGACTTGTACAAACAATAACAATAATCTCTGCCTTTTCTTCATATCCTAAACAAAACGCAGTTAATAAATTTTTATGCCTCTAGCACCACCCAAAGGCTATACAGTATATCAAGGCCACCACTGATGGTTGCCTATAAACATACGCTGACATTGGGTGTGAGGATTCAAGAATAATAATGCAAGTAAATTCAATTTGCTTAAGTGACCATTAATGACAGGAGGCCACAAACTATTCAACTGACTTTAACTGGAAGTACAAAAATAGTTTATGAAAGTGATATTCTTTCTTGTAAATGTCACAATTAATGTCAATGAATGCATATTGTAAGTAATTCAGTTGATTTTAGAAGATGTTTTTACTGTACTAAAGATAATTACATTTATGAAACATGCTGAAATATTACATATTGAAAGATTATTTTGACATTTGAGATTAAAATGAATTTGCATTACAAATTTAATACATTCTATTTGTCATTCTGTATTAATTAACAGTCAGAAATAACATTGGACAAATTCACATTGACAAGGGAGAAAATAACATTCTTTCATAACTTTACAAGATATGAAACATAATTAAATGTAGTATTTTATCTCATGTGTTGTGGCGTGATGATCTTCTTTCAAACCCAGATGTATCTCCATTATTTGTCATACTGCCAGCCACCTTATCCTGTGTGATTTAGACATAAAACAAGTGATCAATACTCACAATACAATAAGAAAATTGTGTGCATTGTGTGTCTGCTGTTGTGATAAACTCACCTTCACATTGCCAACCATGTCCTCAAAAGACTTGAAAGTCGAAGAGTGTCTGCAGGGTATTAAATATATAAAGATAAATTACCCAGTACATATTTTTTCACCATATCTTAGTCAAGTATTTCGATTATCCAAACACATACAGCAGTAAGCAGTGAATATAGGAACTGCAGTGACAAACAATCATGGTGCTTTACCTCATAGTCGGTACACTTACGGTGTGGCTCAGGGTGCTGGGTAAGGGAAAGAAAGAAGGGAATTTGAGTATTAAAAGTGACAAGTAAGGCTTACAAACAATACAGAATCAGAAAAAGCATATAAACAATGTAATTAATGGTATGTGGCAAAGTAGAGAGAGCCTGTCGCTTTTACTCTTTAATTCATCTCACACTTTGGACACTTTGGTGTGCTACTTTAGGTGTGTTTTTGCCTGTAACCACCACCTACCATATTTGTGACTGTAAGTTTGGTTCCCTATTCTAATGTTTCATACATCATCTAACAGCTACCAAAGCTGTACAAAGATGTAACTAACTTTAAATTTGCTTTATTCTACTTTAAACTTCACTCATGTTCTAGTCACACCCACTTCAGTCAGTTCAGCTTCACAACACTGAGCTCAGGTTAGTCTTACCACAGGTCTTACCGTGGTGGGCTTGGAAGAGGCAAGGCTCTGTTGAGTTTGAAGCATGAAGATAAAGACAGACACACAGATAACGTCAAACCAGCTTCTGTTTCCACATGGATGAGAACAACAACAGACTTATCAGCTACTGCTGCTGATGTCCAGATGTACCAGTGTGATTGGATTATGGTTGCTTACTGGCTAAACAAACAACACAACCAGGGGGCCCTTCAACTTATACTTCACCCAAAATCTTTGAGTTCAAAATAGTCATACTTTATAGAGCATGGAGGAGCTGTGTGTGACATGTTGCCCACTGATCGTGACTCTGTTGGTCTCTTGTTTGTCCATCTGCCTGACTGAATTAGCCTTTTTTCTTTTTTCTTTACCAGGCGCCTTGATGCACTGTTAACCCTCTTTCTTCTTTCATTCTCCACAAGCAATGTGTGGTGTTTTTATTAATGTGGTAAAGGTGTATCACTGAGGACAAAAAACGCTATCTCAAGCTAATTTCTTCTGCTCATTTTGTTTTTTTATGATTCATTATTGAGCAATTTGTATGTTGTTATGATGGCGTCTGTGACTCTCTGGACACATTCTTGTGAACACAGTAAACTTGATACTTACTCCAAAAGAACCCCATATGGAGAAGATGATCTGATTAGATTTCTGAGCAGCTTGATGCAGAAATTTGCATAGTAATGAGGGAACACTGGTGTTCCAGAAATTGCTGTAACTCCTTAACACTTCAAGCTAATAAGTTCAAATTGAAACCAAAAAATAAAATTTGCATTTAACTTTGTTTTTCTCTTAAAAATTAGGAGGTAGTAGCTAAGCCAATTCTGAGGTTACCTCATCTCGGCCAGTCTCCTGGTGATCACCACGCCCATAGTGGACAGCGCAGAAGAAGTCACCTGGCCTGCCTGAGAGAGACTCTCCCGTGTCCTTACATATCTACAGGTAAAAAGAACAGGTAGCAGTCAGGATCTGTATGGAGGAAAGTCACAATATTGCCAACACACATGGGGATGGGATGAATTGCAAACAGGACAGTGCATTTAAAGGGCACAAATGTATGAATTCACACACAGAATATAAACAGTTGACAATGAGCTCATTTACGTCAATGACTACAGTCCTCCTGTCTACAGAAGATCCCTTCTTCACTCTGATTCAAACAAACGCTTCTGGTTGGTCCTGCTGTTGCCTGCCAATACTACTGCTCCTTGTGCTAAGTCAGGCTGTAAGGCTATTAATGGGGCACCGATCCTATTTGGCCTGGACAATCCCATCACTTCTTTCTTAGAACAGATCCCACTTTAGCATGACAGCACAGGACAAAATGTTGGGAAACCCCACACCAAGAAATGTAGTACAAATGTTGTTTTTTTCAGGAAATTCTGTACTCATGATGATATATACTCACACAGTGGAGTGGCTGATGTCCTCCAATGTGGCAGAGGCAGTGAGATATCTGAAACAAGAAAAGAATGCGCACAAGTTAGCAGGTGATTACCATGACTTAAGAGAGAGACCACGACAGTCATTGGTCATTAGTGTGGTTTTCGTGGTTATGTAAGCAACTCACACTAAGACAATGTGTTGGAAATGTTCTGCCAGTGCAGGGGTTGGGTGTCTTAAATCAGATAAGACTTGGGAGGTGCATAGTGAAGTGTTTAAGTAGCAGACCTTACTATTTCATTTGTGTCCCATAGAGTAAACATGCAATATTTATGAGGATGCACTTACGGGGCTGAGGTTTGTACTTCTTGCCAGCCTTTGGACAGGTTCTGTTTGATGTTACTGAGAGGGCTCATACCCAGCTGCCTCCTGATGTCTGCTGCATATTTTTCTTTGGCCAAAAGCACCTGTCGCAAGGTCTGAATTTCATCCTCTGTCTATGTTAAGTAAAAACAGAAAATGCTTTAATTAGAAAAGAGACAATACTAACTAGACATGTTACACATTATGATGAATCGCCCAAAAGAGCTGCATCACCTTTGAAAGTTCAACCCGTAAACTGTCTAAGTCCTCCTCTGTCAAATCTGAGGGTGGGCATTCATTGATGGATGTTCCTGTTATCCCCGTGGAGAAGTTTATGGATGATGGAGCCCCACCAAAACCTTAGAAAGAAGAAAAGTGAAATAAGTCCCCCAATTTAGAATTTATAAGCAATATAATAACACTTGATAAATGATTTATAACAGACTATTATGTAGGTGTATGAAGTGCTAATGATGGATCTCTCAACATTTATAACTCAGTCTGTGGACATTCATAAGTGGAGGCTGGTGTGTAAACAAATAATGAATGACAAAATTATTACACAGGTGTAATAATATGCAATGTGTCGTCATGGGAGAAGTTGTAACGTACATTAATAAACACTTAAAATGTCCTCACATCTGCATTGTAATGTGATACAAAATGTATTAAATATTATTACAACAATGCAACAAACCCAGACAGCCGGAGCTGTCCGCAGTGCTGAACTAGCAGGCTAACAGCTAACCTTACCTGTTGCACACGGTAGCTAACGTTAGCTAGCGTCGACCGCAGCACAAACACACTGTGTGTCGACTAAACACAGCTGTCGACTAAACTTAATTAGACCGGATATCTGTGCAAATTAACTGTGCGGTGCTACAAAGACAATGTGAGCTGGTCTTACCTTGTCGGTTCATCGCTGTCACTGTGAGTGTTTTCACTAGCTAGTTGCTGCCTGCCTCCATCCACTCAGCTCAACACAGAGACTACCAGGGGGCAAGTACAGCCAGGATCACCGAGGCTATTATTACACACACACACACACACACACACACACACACACACACAGGTTCAAACTATTTTGAATATTTACCTTTCACAGTATTTTCAGTACTTCCAGCAGTATTTTCTCTCTCTGATTTATATTTTATTTTCAGGAGTGATTGATATGATATCAATACAGTCAAACAAAACTATAAGATCTATAAGGAGCAATGGGAGGAGGCAATTTGGAATAAGCCAAAGCTCAGAAACTAACTTCAAATCAAAGAAGATTAGATAACTTCTTGTAATAAAACCTCAGTAAAAACCCTTAATTCTAAATCCCATTTAAATTACATTACTATCATTGGCACAATCTACTTAATGTTTCAAAAGTGAAAGTAGTCATGCAGCAAAAAAATTGGCACCTGTGAGTAACACATGACATTATTAGATTGTTAATACTGAAGCATCAAGTCCAGTGTTTCCTGACCCAGGGCTCTGACCCCTCCCAAGCGTCACAAAATAAATCAGAGGCATTGTGAGTAGGACAGAAACGAAATAGACGAAATAAAGTTCAGCTCCACAAATGTGGTCTTTTTTTTTGTTTCTTTTTTTGTGAAATATTAGATAATTTGACCCCTTTGGACCTTGAACAATAATTTAAAAGAAGTAATCTGAAATGTTAAAAGGGGAAATCACTCTTTAGTGTAACTGCTAACAACCGACCTGAGATCTGAGATGAGGGCCCCCAACTTCATACTTTTTTTTAGTTAGGGGTCACAGGCCCAAACATTTGTGAGCCACGAGTTTAATCTTTAGCAGTGTATTGTATTTTTTAAGCCTATCGTGTTTTTTCTGTAAAATGTTAATCTGCAAATAGTTACTAGTAACTATAGCAGTCATAAATGTAATAGAGTAAAAAGTACAATATTTCCCTCTTAAACGTACAGGAGAAAAACTGTAGTGTAGTTACAGTAAATATAGTCATAGTCTTAGTCATTTTCCACCGCTGAAATTATTCATGAGGTCCTTTGAGGTAAGCACCAGTTGTTCATTCTCAAGCAAAATGCAAATGATCCACCTTAATAATTCATTCAAGGAAAGGACAATAATATCTGAAAACTTTGCTTGCGTGTAATAAAATATTAATCACAGAATGTGATTATATTGTTCCACATTCCCAGCACTTGAAGTGATAAGGTGCCACTCAACAGCCCAAATGGCACAGGCAGTTTTGATTAATCTCGCAGTCATGTCAAAGCAATAGGAACGGCAGTTCAAGGGCTGATGGTTATGACACCTGCAAATTATGACATTCATCAATAAAATAGCCCCCCTACTACTTTCACCAGTCTGTTTAGCTTGACACTTGACACATCTCTCTTCTTTCAGACAGTAGACCAGGAATTAATGGTCTTGTTGAGCTCAGTAGTGCCATCTGGTGGTATTGGTGAATAGCACTGTTCTAAAACCAGAGTGAGACTGACTGTCCTTTGAAGGTTTCATCTATTACTAAACCAGCAGCTTTAGACACATTTTAGGTTATGGATTAACCAAGAATAACCGCACAAAAGCGCTGCAAAAAAGGTAACTTTATTGAACATAAAAGAAAACCATCAAACAAGCTAACCTAACCCCTAATGAAACCCATAATGATTTAATGTACAGTAACTCCAAACCTTACCCCTAACCTGACCTAACCCAACCTAGCCAAACCTAGCCTAACCTAACTGGTGCACAATCAAATTCAATACAACTGAACTAGTGACTAGTTTGCATGTTGGATTGAGCTCAGGAGGCTGAAACAGTTTGTAGCAGATCACCATCTAGATCCATTGATCAAACTATGATTTTTTTTTAAATGTTAAACAACTTCATGATTCCTTATTATTATTGGAAATTGTAGTTTTTGAAAATTGAATTGAGAGTTGGAATGATTCTAAGACTAAGACCACAAGCTGTTCTAGATGCTAGTGGTGGGCTAACAGCTTACTAAGGCAGTTTATGTTGGTTATTCCTGTAATTTAACACCCATTTTTATTTCTTATGTATGATATACGCAACATGCAAAGAGTACATAAAATACAATAAGAGTACATATACTAGTTCAAATCTGAGTTGTGTCCTCAGTCCAAGCCAATGTAATGCACCAGAGATGAGGTAAAATAAATGACTTGTCTCCATCTGCTGGCAAAACATGACACTACACCTCAAAGTGCTATATCTCCCCCAGATCTGAAGAATCATGTGAACAAAAAGTTGGTAGCTTTTAGTTTCCTTTGGTCATCAGCAAGTTACTGATGCAATCCACTGAAAAAACAAGACATTTTGTAAAAGCAGTGTGAGGATTTAATAGCAGGAATATGTGTTTACTTTGCTGCATTGCTGTATATCTAAACTTACATTCAATTATACTGTGCCAAAAAGTATTATAAATTATGTATCGTAATAAATTATGCAGTGTAATAAATATGCTAAATATTTTTAATTGGGAAAATTGCCACATTCTGACCAATACTATTATACAATACTATTATTCATTGTTACCTAACTAGAATATTTGTGTATGAGAATGCAATTACATTTCCTCTACATTTCATTTTTATGACATATTTTTGACAGCTGCTAGTTATTTACCAGATTCAGATTAATTAAATTATCAGATTATTATTATTAATAAAAATATAATTAATGAATTAATTATTATGTATCATTATTAATTAAGAAACCCAGTCATATATAAAGTAATTCAAATTAGTAACAACTTTACCAGTTGTAATGTTAAAGTGATTTTACACATTATTATATACACTTTATCCATAATTGCAATCCAATAATAAAATATATGTCAAATGGTTCATTAGTTATAATAAGTACTTTTTGGTACTTTAACTATATTTTATGATTTGACTGTTATTAGATACATTCCAATAACCTAGAGTACTAGTATAGCCTACTGATGCTAGTACTTTTGAATGCAGGACATTTACTTGAAACTATTGAGGTAGAACACCTGAGTTCCTCCACTGCCGACTTGGTATGGGTTGGATGTTTTATGTTCAAATGCTCCCTGCTTATTACCACCACCAATGTGCCTGTGCATTAGCATATTATGCTTTTTTTTTGTGTTAAACATAAGTAACTGTAGCCTTCACAAATCCAGTCAGCAAGATTTGAGCCTTCTCCAAACTGTTCAAACTGAGTTTCGTACAAAGACTAACCCCATGCTGCTATTATTTATACAATCTTATAGACACAAGTCAAAATGTTCATTAACATTTATTCAACAACAGCAAATCAGATCAATGATCCACTTGTTTTCTTCCAGACACACAATTACCATGCTACAACATAAACGTTAAGATTTATACTTTATATGGGCCAAGTGTATGTACAAGCCACCTTAACCATTAAACCATTCCTGGCAAAATGTAATGGTTACATTACAACACCATACCAGTTAAAATTATAGCCAATCATCATTTGAAACATGACAAAGTATGAAATAAATAAAATTCCAAAAAATGCTCATATAACCATTTCACTATAGTTACACTATATACTATATTATCTTTTTATGGAGTCGTTTCCTGATCATTGATCCATTATAATTTTTTTAAACACAGTGCATTCAACTTAGAACATTTACAGTAGCATTTTTCAGTATCTCAATGAAAAAGCCATGACAGGAACATCTATGTTTCATAAAGGGTTACAGGAAACATCATACAAGGGCCACAGAGGTCAACATCCATACCATTAATAGCAGAGGGTGGGCAACAGGAGCTCACCAATTGTAAACCATTGAAACACATTATTAGCAGTTATGAAATGACAAAGTGGCAAAGATGTTCATGGCAATCTATGGCAATTTGCAAATGTGTTGCAGTATATGCAAATTCAACAGTATGAAAAATCTATAGAGTCATTTTACTCAGAGCTGCCTGTAGCACTGGCTCACAGATGATATGCCTCACGAGCTCCTTTACTCTACATGGATTCAAAAAAGTCAAAAATGATAAACAATCACAGCATTGGACAAAATATCAGACTTCATCAGACAGAGTCATCAGACTTCAGTTCAAAACACAAGGACTAAAAACATGATGAAGTGAATATTCCTCCTCACCTAAAATATCCCCATGTGGATATTCTGTAGTCATCTTTATTCCCCAAAATAACTCTGCAACATGTTTTTTGTTCACATCAATTTAACTTCTTAAATAAATTCAAGACAGCTCAGAGTAATAACATGTCACCCTCTGAACCAGGGCTGCTGCTGCTGCTGCTGATAGAGATCTGTTATTTCTGCCTTTGAACAGTTCTGATCAGAGTCAGCTGGATCACCTGGAGCTCCTCAGCTTCATATAGCACAAAATCAATAAGTAAACAAAAATAACTGCCACAGTTAGATGAAATGAATGTCTTTCACTCTCAATGACTTGTGATGTCTCTGAAATAGTTTTGACAAACAAAAAAGAAAGAAAGAAAAAGAAAGGACAGCAGCAACTCAGCATGATTCCAATAACCTAGAAACTAGGAAACATGAAAAATTTAATTTCATCCACTGATGAATAACATTATTAAAATGTTAATTATCAATCAGATTCATTTAAAAGCTAATGCTTCTAATTTATAAATCCAATGTCAACATTTTAATAAATCACATGTAACTGCTAATATGTCAAAAATATATTAAATAATTGTTATTTCTGGCTGGAAACATTATGAAATAAATTATGAATCAATATAAAAGTTACCTGTTCTGTGCAGCAAGAAAAAGGGAACGTAGACCATATCCTGCAAGGATAAGCTGAAATAAAGCTGTGGCAGGAAAAAAAAACTTGTCTGCAAATAAAGCTCTGAGCATTAACAACCTCATGATTCACGTTAAAAACACTCAGGGGAGTAAACAAGAGACAAAACAAACACAGTGCCAAAGACATACTGGAGGTCTGACGATGGCAGGTGGCATCTTCAACTAAAACGTTACTGATTGAAAATCAGAAGTGATAATCGTACTAATATATGACAACTCTGTTCTTGAAGGTTTAATGATGGCACCACCTAACCCAACAAACAAATCTCTCTAACTGGCACCTCCCTGAGCCATGGCTCTCCTTTCCTATAGCATAAAATATCACGTAAACCACCCCACCCCCCCACCACCCCCTCCTCCTCCTCCTCCTCCTCCTCCTTGTGAACTGTACTCGTATGAACATATTGCACGTACGTATGCACCTACATTATGAGTCTTGCAAACTAAAAATGTTGCAAAATATGTGGAGACCATGTTTTATAAACAGTGCATGCTACACCATGATGCAAAATATGGGAGAGGGAAAGTGGGGTAGGCGACCTGTGTGGTTAAAGGCCAAGAAATACAAAAGAAGAAATAAAAAGGAAACAATTTAGTTGTTTCTCTTTTCTTCTCGTACTGGGGGGAGAGATAAGTAGGTGGACCAATCAGGGAGGGGTGTAAGGGATGTGACTTCATTAGTTCCTTTCATGGGCCATGCTTACTAGTCCCTCTCCTCCACATGGCTCCCTTTCTGAAGTGGAAAGATGGATTGCCCCTTTCTTTCGTCTCACTGAGGTGGAGCAAGGAAGCAGGCAGGACTGCAGGCCAGGATTGATGGGAGCAGAGGGTTAGTTGAAGCCGGTGTCAGTGTGGTAGGAGTAGTGCCCATCCGATGTTAGCTGGGTTGTCTCTGTTGCTGATGGTTGCAGCACTATAGGGTCACCACCAGCCTCTGTTTGACAAAGGGAAACAACATTTTTAGTGTTTGCATGAAGTCTTGTCCTGTTGGTAACTTTCTAACATATTCAAGACAGGAGTAGTGACACAGGTTGTTCAGTCTCACCTCTCTCATCAGACTGCAGCTGAGCCTCCAGGTCCTCGGGCGACACGTAAAAGTCCTGGTCCTGGCCCTCCCGAGGTCTTGGTTTACATTTTCCACAGCAGCAGTTACAGCAGCAACACAGGCAGCAACAGAAGTAGCAGCCAGTAGCCAGGCCACAGAATACAAACAGAGCCTACAGCAAAACAGATTCATGGGAGGAAGCAAAAAAAAAAAAAAAGGGATAATAGTGAGTGTGTGAGCAGAAGAAAAAGAGGTATGACTGGAAAATGCAAACAGTAAATGGTGCAGGTCAGTCCTGGGTCTCACCTTTGCCCACCAGCTTGAAAGGACAAAGTAAGTGTTAACATTCTCCTCTCCAAACTGCTCAGCCACATACAGTCCCAGAGAGCCATATTTGTCGTAAATATTACGCTTCGTGGGGTCATTCAGAATGGCATGGGCATTGTTTATCTCCTTGAACTTATCTGCTGCTTCTGGATTGTCAGGATTCTTGTCAGGGTGAAACTTCAACGCCAGCTTCCTGTGTAGAGGGAGGCGGAAAATGACAAATCAAACAGAAGCGATCACATTTGCAGTTGGAGGTGATCAAACCTTTTCGTGGCAATAATATGATGTAGGCTAAATCACAGAGCAACACCTCACCTGTAAGATCTCTTAATGTCATCCGTTGTGGCCATCTTTTCAACTCCCAACACGTGGTAGAGAGACTCACCAGCGGTGGACAGAGAGCGCTGCCTCTGCTGCTCAGCCATGATGCCTTACGTTCTCAGGCTGGGCACAGAAAGACAGAGAGATAAATGCACTGCCTTGGCTGCATGTCTTGCTCCTCAAGCAAAACCTAAAGGGCCAGACCTGTTAATCATGACGTACATCAAAAAATGTCAACTAAAGTGAGGCCTGTGTGATTGAATCCTCTGGACTGCAGGCAACAGCTGGTCCAATGCTGTTTCAATTAGATGCAACTGTCCTGTAGGTTACATATGGAAAGACCCTCTCTGTGAAATTTAGGGAAAAGTAGTCAAAAAAGGCTATGAGGTGCAAAATGCTGAATTTATTACATTTCCCTGCACTAATCTAATATTCCCAGATTTCCAGTGTATTTGCACAAATGATATAAATGGTCCTACATGACACTGTAACTGTGACATCTTGGCAGCACCACTGACTGCCTCTGCTGCTGTAAGTAAATCAGTAACTGACATCCATACAGTCAAGAGTGCTGCAAGACAAGCAGGATTTATCGAATTGATGCTGCAAGTAAAAAAAAAAAAAAAAAGGGTAAAACCATTCCTAAGAATATAGCTGCCTCCAAATGGGTGTCATCTTGAAACAAACGAATAGCCCATGGTCTATTTGAAGTCCTGTATTTGAAACGTATTTCATCATTTTCACCACAAACTACCTGTTCTGTCAAGTGAGTGTCAAATTTCTCTTTGTTCTGAATCGCATCCCGTTGTAAATTGTCTGTAAGAAGGATTAAGACTCTGAGAATACGATGCTAGGAGCATAATCTCTGAGCAAGCATCATCAGCAGCACGGCTATAGCGCACAGCATCCATGTTGGTTTGCTTCCTGGCCTGTTCTTGATGCAAGACAGGGATGGATCGTCAGCTCAAATTTTCAAGGGCAAGGGGCAGTGTGTCGAGGAGGAATTAATACTCGGAATGCGCAAGAAGGCTCACCTTTCAGTCGGCTCTGATGTGCTGCAAAACTAACGATCCCAGCGGGTTATAATGTTGGAGAGTGGAGCGTGACTATGGCCGCATCTCGCACGTACCCAGACCCTCTCTGGCTCCCACTACACAACCATGGACAGCTGCAGCAGTACGCTGACTCCGCCCACACCCCCAACCCCCCATGGCGACCCGACGTGCGCGTGCACAAACGGGCTAGAATGATGATGATGATGATGATGATGATGATGATGATGATGATGGGAGAGCATGCAAAGGCTGAAGCTACAGCGCTCTGAAGCACAGCATGAATTTAGTCAATGCAGCCACAGAAACTGTAATATTAGAGCACAGGTCGGTTCAAACGAGCCAACGCCGGTGCAGATCCAGTGTTGTTTTTTTGGGTTTTTGCATCTGAATCAGGACTGGTGGGATTATTCTGTCCAGGCTAGCTGTTTCCCTCTGTTTCCAGTGTTTATGCTAAGCTAGGCTATCAGACTGCTAGCTTCATGATAATGGTATTAATCTTCTTATGTAACTCTTTGACAGGCAAGATGACAGTGTGCTTTCTAGTAGTGCCACATCATCTCAGGGTCTTGAGTTTGTAACACTGTCTGAAAACTAAGAACTTACCACATCAGGTTTCAGTGTTGATTATAATTTGCATTTACCAACTGTGATGAATCTAAATGTTCTCTGTGATCTAGAATATAGATCTACTACAAAGTATTGATACCAATATTATTAGGAACCACATTACTTCATTCATTCAAATTCAAATGTGGACTGTCATGCAGAGAATGGGTCCATTTGAGAAGTGGAAAGAAGTCATTTCTGCAGTTAAATCAGCTATTCACACTAAAAGGATACTGGGATCTTCTGTAGGCTATGTATAAGTCCTGCATGTTGTATTTCCCTAGAAGCTAAACTCACACTGAGTTTTGGTTACAAAAAGTAACGGTCTCATGATTTACATTTCTTTTTTTTACTTTAACTATATACTGGGCAGATGGCCCAAGCCTAAAACCATAACTTTATGTCTGAGTCTAATCTTTCAGCTGTTGTCAAACATCTGACTTTCCCTTGGTGAGAGGGACAATCTACTGACTGGGGTGTCATGCCTGGATAATCCCCAACGAAAGCAGGGCAGATGCCTGGGGCCTATAAACTGTCCATGGCAGTCCGTGACACTGTCTTGTCTATTGAAGCACCTTAACCAGATTTTGGTCCCAGACCCTGACAGAGCCCCAGTTCTAGAAACATACAGAGAACTATTAATACAACACCGCAAAGGTCACCACAGCCATAGCAGCCATTTTTAATGTTATTAGTTCCACCTGTGGTTTTCCTGCTATATCAAATGTCTGCAATGAAAAAGGCCTATTCATGTAATGTAATTCATGGAGCACTTAGATGAAATCCCACCTCTACAAATGACCACATAGCTAAGAAACCCTCATACCATAATCCCCATACTCTCTCAAATACACACTCAGTGAACACACAGTATGTAGTATTTATTTTAAGTCCCTTTTTTGCATTCTTTAAGATCACTACATTTTATTTAACAGCATATTTAAGTATCATTAGAGTCAGAGAACAGTTGCAATATAGCCTACACTCCCTGGCACATTGATTACCTTTTGTTTAAGACCTTTATTTATGAAAAAATCTTTTCTAAACTGAACCATACCATAGTTGCCATGCACAGATACTGCAGACAAGATTAATTTAAAATCGACTTTCTAGTCTGGCAATAGGGTTGGAACCAACAGTTCTGTGCCTCAGGTTTTCTGCCTGTCAGTTATGTTAGTTTGTTGTAATAGAAAATAACTTAAAAAATCTAAATACTGAAGGTATCAAAACTAGATTCAGCACAGGGCAACAAGATTAGTTAATAATAGGGATAGGATCATCAATCCCCAAAATATCAATACTACCAAAACAAAGTCTTGTTTTGAGTATCAATATTAGCATCACTTCCTGAGCACATGAACGCTCTTTTAAGTGCCGCCATATTTGCATCTCTGCTGCTGCTCTGTGCGTGTATGCTGTGATCACTTCTTTAGTTCAGAAATAATTTATATTTTTTATTTAGCATTGAAACTGCATGAGAACAGTAAAAAGAAATGTTTGTCATGTTAGTGTTTTGTAAATTTTATATGGTAAGATATATGCAAAAGTAGCCTAACAAATATTGACATATTTCTATTTGTTACATAACAGTACATTCGTTGTTTTTAATATCAGTATATGGGTGATCCTGGACCTGGTATAAATTGGTATTGGATTGAAACCAGATTTGTGGTATTGCCCACCCCTAGCTAATAATGCAGGGCACCCCTCAGTAGCCTATATTGGATTTCAGTGGTGCAAATTCCCAAACAAATTGACAAGTAGTCAACTTCCCAAAACACAACAGGTATGCAGTGAATCTGGGGGTTTGGTGTCCTCTGTGATGTGAAGAAGGCCATAGCATATCATTCCTCCTCCTCATTAAACCATTCAGTGCTTCCTCATCTCATGCAATGTGTGGAAGCATCTGCATTTGTTATATTTTTCCCACCTATTTTATTCAGTTGTTTCCCTTCACTTACTGATAAAGATATATATAAATAAACATATATATTTCAGATTTAAACATTTCACTTCACTGACTCTGACTGTTCCTCGGCAACCGTGACATCACTCTGCCCACCAATCGAAGAGCTCGCAGGACCGTCGTTCCTATCGCGAGGTTATCACGTTAGCTTGGTTAGTTAGCTAGCCGCGAAAAGCTTAGTTGTGTACCCACATTTTACAGGGTTTTTTTTTAATTATTGTGAAAATACAGAGAGGACTGCGCATTGCTGTTTGATTACTGTCTTCTCCCGCCTGCGAGAAAGAATAATCGCCGGACCTTGTGTTTGCACGGTAGGTTGTGTAAACGCACACAGTCTGCTAACTAGCCAGGAGGAAATGGGGTTTGTTTTGGAAGCGTCGGGCAATTTCTACATTATTTTTAGTGACGCCAACAAGCGTTCAAACGCTATTTAAGCACAGTAATACAGTGGCTTTCATGTTGTTATTAATTGCTGTATGTAGCGTATGTATTCTCTATTTGTGTTCAATTGTTAATACCTGTCTGCACGGTTGTAACGTTTCTGTTCATGTAGGTACAAACTGTGACCGAGCCGTGTCAGTCTTGCTCACGTTTTGCTGTATTACCAATGGATTTATTATTTTTCAGCATCCCAATGATGAGTTATGCTGAAAAGCCAGAAGACATCACAAAAGAAGAGTGGATGGACAAACTGAACAATGTTCATATACAGAGGGCGGACATGAATCGGCTCATTATGAATTACCTGGTGACAGGTGAGGCATCCAGCCTGAGGACAGCAACTGTGAGCTGAAATGCAACTTGTACACATCAGATACATCACTCTTAACTAGGGCTGCAGCTAACAATTATTAGCCTTATCGGTTAATCCGCCATTTATTTTCTCGAATAATAATTTTGTCTTTAAAATGCCAGAATAATGTGGAAAATGTCTCTCATCAGTTTCCTGAAGCCGAGGCAATGCCTTGAGATTGCCTGTTGACAGAACAGTCCAAAATATGTTGAATTTTCTACCAGACAAAGAAAAACAGCAAACCCTCACAAATGACAAGCTTGAACTGGGGAATGATTGGCATTTTTTACTTAAAAAACGACTCAGTTAATTAGTTCCACACTATATACTCTTAGTGACAAGGATCCAAAACTCTTCATGTGAAAATAAAAAGCCAGAAAATCCTGACCAGTGTCCATCACTTGAACTCACTTTATTAAGACAATGTTTCAGTGCTCAGACCATCAGGAATCAGAGGACTGAAATGTCTTGATAAAATGAATTTAGTCAGTTAATTGATTATCAAATTAATCAACTAATCGTTGCAGCTCTAATCTTAAAAATTATCTATTTCTTTACGTCTGTTTGTGCCTGTTTCACATGTATCTAGAAGGATTTAAGGAGGCAGCGGAGAAGTTTCGGATGGAGTCTGGTATCGAGCCAAGTGTGGACCTGGACTCTTTGGATGAAAGGATAAAGATTAGAGAGATGATACTGAAGGGACAGATACAGGAAGCTATTGCACTCATCAACAGCCTACACCCAGAGCTGCTCGACACCAATCGATACTTGTATTTTCATCTGCAGGTACCTTTGCACAAAGCATTGCAATAGCCATCAGTAGTTCTGATCACAGTATGTGCCTCTGTGAACTGGAGACTGTTTGGTGTCATGTTAGTGGCAGACAGAAGATGTCAGCCTGAGATTTATTGGGGGTGAATTTCACAGACGAATGTAAAAGAAGACATCCTTGTTTAGCAGCAGTGAGAGTAAGGCACAGCGACAGTATTAAGGTGTAGTGTTGAAGTGTAACCCCTTCCATCTGCTGTTGGTAAAAACCCAGGCTGTTATCTTTCCTGGTTAAAAAGGAAAATATTTTGATGCTAGATAAAGTCTGATAAAGGCTAAACTTCAATCTTCATTATGTGTTGTTTTATTCTCATTGCAGCAGCAACATTTGATTGAGTTAATCAGGCTAAGGGAGACTGAGTCAGCACTGGAGTTTGCCCAGACACAGCTGGCCGAGCAGGGGGAGGAGAGCCGAGAGTGTCTGACAGAGATGGAGAGGACACTAGCCCTTCTGGCCTTTGACAACCCGGAGGAGTCACCCTTTGGAGACCTGCTCAACATGATGCAGCGGCAAAAGGTCAGAATGAATTGTTTTTATTCACTTCAAAACAGGAAATCTTTTGTCATTTTTGCTTGAAAAATTACTTCAACAATTAATTGATTATCAAAATAGTTGCTTTTGAATTTATGCTAAAATATCATTATCCATTTTGCTTTCATACCAAAAACAAATAGCACCACTTGAAAGTGGATCAGGCTTTTTCAGGCGGTATTGGGCCGGCTGTTTAGTCTGCACCAGAGTTTAGACGCCAACTTTCACACAAGCCTAAATGAACCAAACTAAACGGGCAAACACACTTGATTTTGTTTGAACTGAACCAAACACATTAAGTGTAAAAGCACCCTTAGAACACCTGGAATACTGAATACAGGATACTGAATTCAAAAAGTCTTCATGTAAGCATTAAGAACACGGTGAATGCAGGCGATAAGTAATTGTACAATAAATGTGTTTATTTAATTTTACTGCAACACATCTCTTGATGCACAGGTGTGGAGTGAGGTGAACCAAGCTGTGCTGGACTATGAAAACAGGGAGTCGACACCCAAACTGGCTAAACTGTTGAAGTTACTGCTGTGGGCACAGAATGAGCTGGACCAGAAGAAGGTGAAATATCCCAAAATGACTGACCTTAGCACGGGCACCATCGAGGACCCCAAGTGAACATAACAGAAAAGAACAACCACCTTCCACGTCTCCTTAATTTATGATCAGTCAGTGACTGTGTGACAACCAGGTAACATATATGTATAAACAAATTCTACGTTGTTTTTTCATGTTTCATTCATGAGAAGTAAGACTTAACTCATTGTGCAAACTGTAAATTGCTGTATTTGCAAAGTGACAGAAATTATTTAGTTTAAATACTGATCCTGGATTTTTAGAAAGGTCTTGGACACAACAAAATTAAAATCGCTGTTTTATATTTTGTCTTTCTAAAGCCTAAGCCAGTTGTATTATTTATTGTGACCTCTTTTTCCCACCGAGATGTTATTTTGCCAGGAAGAGAGTTGATGGTATATATATAGATGGTTCAAACTTTAAAACAGCAGATATACAATTACCCTTTTTAATGAAGATATGTTAAGATTGAGATGACACACTAATCTTAATTAAATTAAAATCGAAATTTCTTACACAAAATGTGAATATTTTTCAATGAAATGGAAAGATACACTTTTAATGTAATATAATTTTAATTAATATAATATTTTACAGTTTTATTTAGTATGATGTTTGAAAATTTCCTATAAAATCAACCATTTGCTTTCTACACCTTGAAATTTGATTGTACCTTTACAGTATGTCTATGGAATGAACTGCCTTGTAAAATGATCGTTTCGCATGTGTGCTTGAGGAGGTAAAATATGGCCTGACTGACAGGTTGAAATCAGAGATGGCTTTCTTACTGAGTGGAGCCCCCAGCATGTTCCAAATGGTCGTGTTTGGTTTTATGTTATAGGGGGCTGAGGTCATGATAATCTTCTGCCATTCTCAGTGATGGAGGCAGGATTTATACGCTGCTCCAGGAATAAATGAGGGGGACTGTTATGGCTGTTTTCTGGTTTAAACTCTCATATTTAAAATCCAGTCATCTGAGAAATGATTTTGTTCATTGGCTTTGTTTTAATAATTAATAACAATGATCAAAAGCATTGAATTTTTGAGTCTGAACTGGCCGCTCACAGAACCTGCTGTCCATTTTGCCACTTGCCAAACCATTAGTATTTTCACTTTAACTGCATGTAAGTGTATCCTTTTTTTTCAATGGGGGAAAGGCACTTTGTTCTTGTTTATTTTTTTTGGTTGGTTTACTTTTATAAAAAAAAAAACAAAAAAAAAACAAACTTGCTGCTAGTCGTCCATTCTTAACTTCTTTTAAGGTTGTGTTGTCTTTATAGACATTGGCTTTGACAAAACAATGAGACCCAGAGAGCTCACATCCCTTTTATTATTCAACATTTTTATGATCAGATTTGCAATTATTAAAATAAACAAAACTTTTGTGAACCATGAAAGAGCTGTTTTTCATTTTCTGCGTTGCGAGTGCATGAGTTCAAATTTGAAGGGGAAAATCCACTGGTTAGAGAAGGGTTACTCCAGTAAAGGTTGTTCAAGCTCTTTATTTTACTGTAAAAACCTGATTATGGATTTGCAGTAAACCCGGGCGCTTGACACAACAAATGCGCCTCTGTCCTTTTGAAGGGAGGGAATGCAAATGTTATACCTAGAGAAACCACCAATCAGACCTCTGCTGTCAGTATTGCAAATCACATCCATTTGGTCTGTTGAGTTTTGTTCCAACAAGTTTTACTTGTTTGGCCTGTCTGCCTGAGGAAATGAAGTATAGCTCTCCCACACCTCTCAGTGTGGGAGAGCTGCACAGATAACAGAGTTGCTCTCTGAATGGCTGACGAGCACACATCAGGAGACGGAAGGAATGGCTTCAATGGTTCTCTGTTGGATCTTGAGATTTACACAACCAATGAATCTACCAAAGAAGAGCCAGAAAACCAAACCCTGTGGCCCAGGTGAGACTGCAGAGCATTTAGATAAGACTAAGATACAATGTTATTTAATTCATAACCTGTTTTGCTGTTCTCGATAAACCTGTTTCAAGTTGTGGCATTACATCTGAGCTAAATCACATTTTATGTTTTAAAAATGTGAAACAACACATTGCCTTCATATGTACTAGGCATGAGCAGAATGTAAACTGTTTGTTGACTGAAATAAATATTGTGGGCTACCTTGAAATGTGCTGTGCCTGCATGTAGAGCTGCTGCGAAGATTATTTGATGAGTCAATAGACAGAAAATATATTATTTTGAGTAATTTTAAGAAAAAAATCCTCTGGTTCAAGCTTATTAAATGTGAATGATGTGGTTTCCTCACTCTTTTGTAATAGTCAATTAAATATATTTGGATTTTGGACTGTTGGTCAGTCAAAAACATTTATTCGATCTCATTTTGGACTGAGAAATTGTGACATTTTTCAAAATTGAAATAATTGTCACTTACAGCTCCACTTACATGTGCATAAACTTCAAAGACAAATATTGCTGTACGCTCTTGCTTCTCTGGAACTCTGATAATTTTTGAGCCATGCCAGCAGCGTGAAAAGAATGAATCCTGCTGATAATGCAACCTCACAGAGCTGCTGGCATGGCTGTTGACTTGTGTGTGTTTACCAGACTGTTACTTTGGTTACAGTTTTTACTAGATGCAGATTATGATCTGTGTCATTAAATAGCAACTTCCCCTTTATGTTTATAGAACTCTGGCTCGAAAATGGATCCTGATGCTGTTCATGGGCACCTGCCTCCTCTACTGTGCCAGGATGGCCATGCCGATCTGTGCCGTCTCAATGGCAGCCACTTTTCACTGGAGTAAGATCGATTCTGGGCTGGTTCTGGGTGGATTCTTCTGGGGTTACTGTTTCACGCAGATCCTGGGAGGACATGCCAGTGACAAGTAAGTAATTAAGCTGGTAAAACAGGCACGTTCATGGTATTCTTCCTGTTGGGTTTAGTTCATAGTTTCATGATGTAAGTTTCTTATAAATGACTGTTGTGATATCAGAGTGGGAGGAGAGCGTGTCCTGTTCATCTCTGCAGCATCGTGGGCCCTGATCACAGCCGGTACTCCTCTTCTGGCCCAGCTCAGCTCTCACACCCTCGCTCTCATGACTATGGCCAGATTCCTTATGGGACTATTGCAGGGTGAGTACTGTACCAGTTACAGTATGGAAAAAGCACAAGAAGATTTTGGAAAATATATGTGTTCACTTTCTTGCAAGAGTTACATGAGAAGACTGATACCACTCTCATGTCTGTACACTAAAGATGACACTACAGCCAGCAGTCAGTTAGCTTAGCCTTTCACCTTCTAACAAAGCCAGGCTACCTGTTTCCCCTTATTTCCCCTTGTTTCCAGTCTTTATGTTTACATATAGGTTCCAGACCTGCAGGAAATATACTATTCATTGACAACAGATTTTGTTGATAAATGTTGACTGAACTGTCCAGGCTCACAGAAATTACATGAATACAGTGTCTCATCATGTCTTATAGGTGTATTTTTTCCATCTTTGGCTAGCCTTTGCTCGCAGCGTGTAGTGGAAGGGGAGCGAGGCTTTTTAATGAGCACCATGCACAGCGGTAGTCATCTCGGGTATATTGTACACACACACACACACACACACATCCACATCCACTGATAAACACACTATCTCTTGTGACACCTTTTTTGCTCTTGGTTACTGTTTCAGGACACTGCTAGCAGGTGGGATGGGATCTGTGATGCTGGACAGTTACGGATGGGAAAGTGTGTTCTATGGCATTGGTTTCCTCTCTGCACTGTGGGCACTCGTTGTTTGGAAGTATTTATTAAAAGGTACAGTAACTACACTTGTCGTTCATGTACAGTACATAGGTTGTCACTTTGATAGCACTTTGGGCCAGACTGAAATGTCTTGACAGCAAGTGTCATGAATTTTTATACAGGCATTCATGGTCCCCAGAGGACAAACATACCCCCCACCCCCTCGACACTAAAGAATTATTTGTCAGTTGTCAAATGAGTTACAATCACAAGTTTGTTCCCATCAGCTATGCCGAAGGCGACATGTACTGATAGCAACTCTTCAGGATAAAAGAACAGATATAAACTATACTTTTCCGAGAAACCGGAAATATGTTGCCATGGATTAAGTGAGTTAAACTGTGGGCTTCAACTTGAGCCCTGTTTTTTTTTTTTGTTTTACTCCATGTCTGTTAACATTTTGTAAAATTAAGTGTACTGAATTAGCTATTTTAAATTCTTGTTTCTTATGTACCATTGGATGTACCTACTGACAACTATCACTGGATCACTGACTGAGGAGCTTCTTTTTTCTCTCATTTCTAAGAATTTATGGACATTTATTTGCAATGGTGTTATCATGTCTGTGTGTTCGGGTTTGACTGAATCATGAGTCAGATATTTGACACAAAGATTGACACTGATGTGTTGTCTGATTTGAGTTTCAGATATTTTTGTTACAAAATGTGACTTTTGAATATTGACATTGAATGACTTGTTAAATTCTTCTTCATCTGATTGTTTTAATTCATGATATGTGAGTAAATCTAACCAGACATATAAGACATGAGGAGCTCTCAGCCCCTTTTGTTTTGTCAAAGTAGCTCTCAGAGTAAAAACAGTTGGGGAACCTTGGCATAAAATATCTTGACAACTACTAGATCTTGTTTGTACTATGCTGCTAAATGATATCAACAGTGCCACAGTAAATCTTATGGTTTACAACAGTATAATATAATGTCCAATCTGTGGCTCAGGTGAAGTTACGTCTAAGCAGATGGAAAGAAGTAATGACACAATGCGGAATTTGTCCCGCTGGCTGAGTCTCTTTAAGAAGTCGCCTGTCTGGTACAGCAACTGTTCCTTAATCATTCACTATTTACCAACACATAATTATGTGAGTGTGTGTGCCTCACCCCATCCTCACTCCCATCTCTCTCTCTGTGTTCCTGTCATCCTGTCTCTAAGGGCCATGGTCTTTGCTCACATGTGCATGTGCAGTACGTCCTACACCCTGCTGTCATGGTTGCCAACATACTTCAAAGAATCATTTCCACATGCCACGGTATTTGTTTTTGTTGAACCGCAGCCTAGGTTGTATCGCCTTGACATCCTTGGCATTGTTTAAATTCCATCTCAAAACTGGTTATTTTTAATCATCAACTTGTCTATTCATGCAGGGATGGGTGTATAATGTAATTCCATGGCTAGCTGCGATTCCATCAGCGCTAGTTGGAGGATATGTTTCGGATTTTCTCATCAACCATGGTATTAAATAAGGCTCATTATATTTTTTCATCATAGTATATTACAGCAGCCTTCAATTAAAAAATGTTTACATCTTGTGTTTTCTTTGTAGGATATAGTATAGCATCTGTGAGAAAGATAATGCAGGTGAGTTGTGATTGTTCGTTTATCCAGTGTTGTATAAAGGGGAAAAAGGGAGAGTGTAGTGGAAGGTATGTTCTGACTAGCTACTGAAGTGTGAATTTTTTCAATTCTTCAAACATGTAATTACAAGTCTTGAAGCTACCCAAGGCTGAAATATGTACTCGTACTGTACACTGTTAACATTATGTGTAAGTGTAAGTGAAATCTACACAACAACACAACACTGATACTAAGGTACAGGTTTCTATTGTATAACTGACTTACAGATTGGTTGTGAGGTTGAGCAGGTTGTGTTTTGAATTCTGGTTGTGTGGCTGCACTTTGTTTACATTCAGATTATGGACTGTGCCTTTGAATACCTTATCTGCATGTCTCTCCCTCCCCTTCTCCCTCCCCAGTTCATTGCCATGGGAGTGTCCAGTATATTTATTATGCTCCTATCTGGAGGAGCATTTACCTCATTTACCTCTGCAGTGGTTTATGTCTCTGCCGCTGTGGGTGTTTCCACCTTCACCAGCAGGTATGTTAGAGGATTCTCTCCTTATGTTTGATAAACTGCTACATACATATTTGGTTAAAATAAATGCAATAAAAACATATATCAGCAGATATAAAAAAACAGAAACAGACAATCTTGATGGAGATCACTTTGATTTGTTTTTGTTTTGCGTTTTTAAGAATTGTGACCAAGATGCACACAAGTGAGAGATTAAAATCTACTTGTCAGTGTTTTTAAATTGCATCAGACTTACTTTGGTAGACAGAAAAATAGCCAACAAATAGATTTTAAAAATTTCAATGGTACAAAAATTTGCAGGGTTGCACAAATCAGGGGAGTGAAATTGTAAGCATAAAAATGAAGAGAGGTTGTTTTGTTGTATTTTGGATAAAAAAACAGCTCATAAATATATAGTTTAATTTTTTAAAAACAAAATATTATTTTCTAAAACATCTGAACAGAACAGTGGGATTCACTCAAAACAAACTACAGTGCTCATGCTCATGGTAATGAAGTAACATTTCAACTAGTGCAACAGTGTGGCTCAGTGATGTGTTTTTAATCGTTTCTGAACAACACTGAAGCTCTATGGCTCAGGGGAATCAGCTTGTTTATTAGGCTTTGGTTACACAGGCAATGATTGTTAGTAGAATCAATTTATTGTTGGTTTTGATCTTTTTATTCCCTTATTATTGACAATAAGAAAATATAGAGAATCACCAGGCTTATCATTTAAATACAGCCACGTTTTTGGGTATAAATGAGTAAATTAGAGTTATCCGTGTTCAGTGTGCTGTAAACGTTGCAATTTCCTGTTTATGTGACAAGTTCCAATGTGTTTCAGTGGTGTGTCTGTGAATGTGCAGGATCTCACTCCATCATGTGCTGGTGCCCTCTATGGTGAGTCTGTAGCAGCCTACATTTCAGTTTCATAAAACTGCGCTAATCTTTATATTTTTTAGTCATCATTTAGTCATTTTTGTCCATTTAATCGTTTAATCGGTATTTCTTTTCTGCAACAGGTTTTATGAATATGTTGGGTGCCCTTATGGGTAAGTATTACAGATGTTTTTATCTATTTTTTTCAATATAAGGGAAATGTCTATAATTACTAACTTTTCTATCTGGAATTCAACAAATGAATTGTTGAACAACAATATTGATCTCAAATGCCTCTCACGTCATCCTTTTGTGTTTCACAGGAGTGGTGTTGGTGTCCTTGTCAGGCTACCTGATTGAGGTCACCCTGTCATGGGCCACTGTGTTCTCCCTCATCAGTTTAGTAAATGCCACGGGTCTTGTGATCTTCCTCATATTTGGAGATGCTCAACGTGTCGACCTGGAAAATTATAGCCAGGTTATTGTGATTTGACCCAGACCTTTTGATGCAAATACCAGTGTGTAAGTGATTTGTGAGATTGGACAGTACATTTAAATCTCCACCAATGGAGTCAGTCGCAAATTTGTCGTGTCATGTTTTGCTGAAACTGGCTGTGCATTTTGCAAGACAATATACCGGTAAACACAGTACAGTGAAGTGTTTCTCAGGAATCACTGAAGTGCCATATGCTATTAAGTGTTTTCTTTGTCATTGTTTTGACAAGGGAATCCGATTTTGCTGCTGCAGAAAACAACATGGAAACAGACTTCCTCTATTTGGAAATGAAGGAACTTGAATATTGCGGGCATGTTATTGTTCTTTTGTGTTTTATGTAAGTCACTCTGTATAACACTGTCAGCTAAATGGAAACTTAATTCTACAAATGTTTATAACAGTTTGAATATTTAATGTACAGAGTTTGATTTGAATGTGCACAATAATAATTACTTAATTTAAAGTTTACTGTTACTTCTAAAAACAATGGCACATAATAAAACACTTTTTTAAACAAGTTTTCAAGTGTTGTCAATGTCACTTCTTTTATATGACTTCTGAGAGAATTATTTAAAATGCAAATATTGTCTTCCACCTGACAACAAAACACCAGAGGGTTAATTCACTGTAAAATCATTCTAATGTGTCAGTGTTCCTCCATTCATTCAAAAAGAGAAAAAAAAATATCCACATCAGCCCATTATTTCCACTCAACAAATGTGATGAGGAAGGTTTGTTAACTTTAGGTTGAACTGCTGAAACTCTAGTGTTTTTACAAAGGTCAGAAGATACATTCATGAGTGAGATGTAAACCTGGGAATGTTTTTAATTCTGAATTTTCTATCTGAGCTGACTGCTGCACAGCTATTGTGTAAGTCACTGTAATTTCATTGGGACACAGGCCTGGACCTCAATCAAGATGAAGAAATACAACATGTCAGTGAGCCTGTAATTAAAATGTGTTCCTCTGCCAGGTAATAGTGAGTAAGATGGGGGAAGACATAAAAGCCTGATTCAGCTGTGTTTGTTAAACAACAGTTCAGCTACAACAAACTTTCACGTTACTTGATCTAATCTTTCTTTGTTGGTTATTAAGGATGTGTGTGTGTGTTTTGAAAAAGACGAACCAAAACTCATAAAAGGTCCAGAGCTTGGTTTGAGCTTATACTGTCACACTGTCAAATTTTATTTACAGTTTGTTTGTTTTTCCAAGATGACAACAAAAAGGTCAAGTGTTTTGAAAAACAATTGAATTTGTGTGAGGAACAATCAAATACTTTCACAGATAATTCTAAAAATGTAAAAACTTTACATCTGGGGCAAGACGCCCTCTTGTGGGTTGGGGCAAAATGCCACAGTGGTATCCCCCCTGCACACTTATATTGCTATGCAGTCTGATTTTTGTTGAAAACAATAAAAAAGACTCTAAAACCATAATCTTGCTTTACTAAAAATATATATATTTCCACGAAAGGACAATAAATGTACTCCACACAGCTCACTACCATTCAGATGAAAAAAAGACTCATGTAAATGAATAATTTTTCTTTAACATGTAATAATGTAGACATAATTTTTCATTATTGTTTTATTCAGTTTTATTTCAGTTTCTGAAAAGCTAAACAGTGCGAATTGGAATTTAATAAAAAAAAAACAAATAGGCTATTTTTGATTAATGCTCTTTATTTGAAATATTTTAGTTTTAACCCACTGATTTTTTGGATTTGCTCTAACAACTACATTGATTTTTCTATGTTTTACCCACAAAACTGGGCTGGTTTAAGCACTGAAAACGCATTAAAACCCAATATATTTAGCTGTATGTTCAAGGGCACTCCACTGATTTATTATTGCACTGTTAAAGAAAAAAAGAGTGCTTCTGCAGTGGAAAAGAGCCATGTTTGAGCTCTCCATCGATTCACCACGGGTCTGGTTTCAGCACCCCGGTCAGTGCATCATGCATCATGCAGCCTGCAGTGCTTTTCCATCCACAGAGATGGGGGGGGGGGGTCTGCAATAGATCCGGCAGCAGATCCGATCCGATTCTTATGAACCCGGTCTGTCAGACGCTGTAACAGGGGCAGCTTTCAGCGTCTGGATTCACGTCATGACGTTATAGCTTTAGCCTATGAGGACCGGGGCATGAAAGCCACACGCAAATCAGGACGGGTAGGTTTGATGTAGAGAAATGTCTAACATCCAGAGAACCGAGGGATACTCTGCTAGGTCTTTTAACCAGAAGGTCGGACTGGACTGAAGCACAAAACCTGGGTGGACATCATCTGAGGGCCTGCCCGCCTGCCCCAGTACATACCGATACCAGCACTGTGGACGGTATTGTCGGGCCTGCCTTACCTCCACGGACCCATGTCTCTTTCTAAAAGGTATCAGGCAGGGATGTTTCCACTGAGCGGTGTCAGCTGTAGGCCCGGAAATTATCTGCTGTGCTGCGGGATGAAGGCAAGCAGCTGCTCACACTGGACCTGGACTGTTAGAGATGATGGCGTTAATTTAAGGCCGCAGAAGAGGAGCTTCAGTAGCTGATCACCATCAAGGACAAGAAGAAGAGGAACCCTGTTATTGTCTGATGCAGATGTTTGAATTGGGTTTATTTTTTATGTAAACTAGGATACAGATCATTATGATCATTATTATTGAGGAATTTTAAAAAATTGCTTTCACTGTAATGGCGCCCGGGCATGTGAAGTAATTTGTGTGGAGATTTTTTTTTGTCCTATGTGTGTCCAATGCTCCAAAGCTCTAACTTTCCCAGATGAGGGACGGGATTGCCGCTCCTCGTGTTCACGGCGGACCTTGATTTATTAGCCATACAATTAAGGCACGCGGTGAATGCCAAGAGAGGAATCACACTCTCTACATTCTGCATCATTCATGACGATTGAGAGGTTTACTGCGAATCATCTGCAGAGAGAGAGAGAGAGAGAGAGAGAGAGAGAGGGAACACCTGTCTGCGGCCACCAGCTGCCACAGGAACAAAGACTGTCTATTCGACCACATTTAAACAAACTACATTGTTTTCTCTACAGATTTTGTCATTTCATACTGTAAGTTTTCCATATAGACTGTAAGGATATTACATAAATCAGTCATTCCCAACCAGGGCTACTTCTTCTTTTTCCAGAAGCTATGTGTGGAGTGGCTATTTTCCATGGCCAGATTAACCTCCCAGGGTGCCCTGGGACAAGCAATTTTTGTTGGGCCCCTTTTGACCCCCCTTATAGGCTACATGGAAGTTTCATTATTTCTCCTGGCAACCAGAATCCAACCATTACTGAAATGACTAGTTCATCAATCATATAGTTGATTTACAGAAAATAATAAACTTCTGATAATCGATTAAGTAATTTTTTAAGCAATTCACTGGAAGCAGCTTCTCAAATGTGAATATTTGCTAGTTTTCAGAGTATAACAGTAAACTTTGTATCTTTGATTATTGGTCTGGAAAAAAAGCAATTTGACTATGTTAAACTGGTTTCAGGGAATAAAGGTGGGCATTTTTCAGTTTTCTGACATTTTCTGACTAAACAATCGATTATTAAAGAAAAAAACTCAGATTTATTTGTAATGAAAATAGTGATTGGTTTCAGCATTACAGTACTTCTTCTATGATGGAATAATTCTACCTTGCCCAAGGTTTTCTTTGTGTTAATTACTTGACAAACAGAATAATTGAAGCAGTTTAATAAAACCCATATATACAAGAAATTAACAACTAATATCAAGTAAAACAATGAAGGTCTTAAACCTAGATTTTGACACAGGTTACCTCTACAAAACCATGGCCTCAAGATGGTGGATGGAGTAGCCCCTCGCAGTTGATATTCTGTGGTGCAAATTTTGTGACCAGAGAATGTTTGTTTTTATTAATAAATGACATATTTTACCCATTTACTTTTCTGTTGTTTACTAAATGTTTAATCAAAATATTATTTCAGCTCTAAATATAATAGCAGGAGGAGGAAAATACACACAAACAGCATTATACAACATTGGCATACAAAAAGGTAGATCTTTGATTGATTGTCACAATAACCAAAACCAATACCACAACAGGTTTAGTTGCACAGACAGGCTTGACACTTATCTCAGTCAGCTGTATCACCTATATTCAACCTGATGCTGCTCGGAGAGAAGTGAAAACTAATAAGCAAACAAGCAGGCAAAGTGAAATCAATTTGTGAATGTGCCTTAAGTGGAAATGTTTAGCCTCTGTTACTTCAAGGTGGTAGTTTGACTGCACAGACTGCACTGTAATAAAATCCACTTTTATGTAATTTATAAAACAAATGTTTTTTTTTTGTTTTTTTTTAAATTAACGCAGATTAACACATTTGGAACATGACTGGTGGTCCTGTTCCTATTCTCTGACAGGGCAGTGGGGCAATGTCCGATTAAAAGGCTGGAAACAACTGACATAAACGATGTGTATTCAATGGTTCTATATCTCTATATCTACTTGTAAGTGATTTCTTATGACCTACTGTAGAGGCAAAATTTCCTCCCCAATGTCAGTTTACACTTCCCTTCTTGCAGGACTATTATAGCTGTTTATGTGCAACTTTATTCCTTCACAAAGTCTTGCTTTTCTGTATATGAAGCGTGTAAATGGTGCTGCATGAAGAAAATTATATAAATGTATATGATTAAGTTTAGTGATATTCTGTTTTTCTTGTTTTCAACAAAATGCATGGGAAAAATAAAATCAAAACCAACATTTAATTGATCCTGCTTACAAGTATTGTCTTGTGTATCCATAGCCTGACATAGGGAATCTTACGTCTCTGTGTCATAAAGCTACTTTTGGTCGCCAAAAACTATAAGAACACATACATGAGCCACAGGCATCAAAAAGGCTCATGTATTCCCTTACTTACATACTGAACATTAACACTATAGTTTATTTTCATATGAGCCCACAAACATACTTGCCACCACACATAAGGTAGAGACACATGACCTTTCTATTTGATTAATTTTACAAGTTATATACAGCAGTAGCTGCAGCACAGGCATGA